GCAGACATCAGTCACACTGAGAAGGTGAGGCTCTCAGTTGGAGTTCCTCCCTCCTTCCTGTTAGACCCAGCACTTAGGGCTATAGTTGGATTATGAGTCTGGAAGCTCCTTGAAGGCAGGACCCAGATCTGGTCCCTCCCTGCCCAGGGTAGTGTCTAGCACCTGGGCAGTGAGTTAGCAGGTGTTCGCTAAGTGAGTACTGTGCCTTAGCTGCCAAATGAGGCCAATTTTGACTGATAAACATTAGGGACAATACTCCCTATTTCATAGCATTTTAATCTCATAGAGAATGTTAAATAAGAAAGTCAACATGAAAGCACCTAGTTCAATGACTGGCACATAGTAGGTACTCAAGTATTTGGGCATAGTGTGTGTGTGTGTGAGTGAGGGGCGGGGGGGATAGAGAGAGAGAACATCCCCACCCCAAATTGATTTCAGGCCCCACAGTCTGTATAGCACTGTGCTCGAAGCAAGGTCTGAGCACTGGGCTGATCCCACAGCTCAAAAGAGAAAGGACACAATCATCTGTCATACCTGCCCTCCACTTCCACTTCTAAAACTACAGGCAACTCCATCCTGCACAGTCAGGAACAGAACAGGGGCATGGGTAAACCAGCACCACAGCTAATAAAACATAAGCAAAATTTGGAATATGTTTCCAGATGGATTGCCTCAGAATAGAGCTACCTTTAATGCTCTGAGGATTTCAGACTGAATAACAAGATTATGAAGTAAGCCTCAACTCAGAAGGAATGAAAAATCTCAGCAGAGATATCCCTGCCTTCAGAAAGCTTTCTCCATCCCCAAATTCAGGATGGTTGCCCAACCCCCACCCCTGCAGGCTCTCAGCCCTTCACTTCCTCTGGCAGGTCACTGATCATCCTAGGTGGCTGGGGTTACCACTATGCTTGGCCAATGGTAGGCACTCGGTACATGTCTTTAATTTAATTAAAAAGCAGCTCAGCATCTTTTCATTTCTTAAAAATTCCACATGCAGAAGACATAATAAAGGAGATTAGAGTAAGACTTCTTGCTGCTGGTCCAGCAAGTAAGCAATCAACATTTGTGTGTTCTACCTGGCAAACTTATTCTGAGGAGCCTGGGAGACAGGGCATCAGACACTGAGAAATGACTGTCACAACTACTAGGTGTGGAAAGGAGAGGAGGCTGGAATCACGGCTCTGAAAGATGGTGGCTGAAAGGGTGCAGAGACCCAGAGGGACGACTGAGAGCCTTTGTTGGAAGTTTTACTTGATTTAGGCCAAAGAAACACAGCCCTGAGGTCCTGTCTCAGACATTAGAGAAGGTGCCTAGGTAAACAGGCACAGGATTCACCCTGCAGAGCCAGTGTCCTGGCAAAGTGGGCGTGGGGTGGCAGGGTGTGCTTGGCCACTTGCAGGACTTCCTCCTATCTTCTTCCTCATCATCTGCTTCCATGGAATTGCTTAGTGTGGTTGGTGTGGGAGGGTTAAAAATTCAGGCCTGCTGGAAGCCTGAGAGCGCCAGGGCTTGGTGCCCATAGGGGATTTGGCTTGCAACAAAGTGGTGAGCTGACTACAATGACACTGTCCCTTCCAGAGTATCTAAAGGAACAACTGGAACAGTACGTGAAGCAACTGCAGATCGTGAGGGTGGTGCGGCAGGAGAAGCGGAAGGGGTTGATCACTGCCCGGCTGCTGGGAGCCAGCGTGGCACAGGCAGAGGTGCTTACCTTCCTGGATGCCCACTGTGAGTAAGAGTGCTGGCCTGGCACCCAGGAGGCTTGGGTGTAGTCTGGCCCACCCCCGTTCCTGGCAGGATGAAGAGCTGTGACCACAGCATCAACAGGCCCCTTCCTGCTCTGTTTCAGGAGTGAAGGAGGCTTCTTCTAGCTTCTCCAGCTTCTTCTAGCCCTCTCTTACCCCAATCCCAAGGATGTTTTATCAAGATGCACACACAACCCTAAAACAGTTGGTCACCCCACAATTGCTGGGAGTGTGCTCTGGGGCCCCAGACATTTCTCTCTCCCCTGATCTGTACCTTGTTCTGAACTCAGCCCCTCAGAGAGGCCTCCCATTACCACTGGGAAATGATCTCTGTGGAGCTTTCCTGTAGGGTCACCTGAGCCAGGAAAGCCTTCCCCTTGCTCCAAACCAAAACACCTCCCACCATTGTCAGGAAAAAAATAACTTCCCTAAAAGCAGTGATATATACTGGGGAAAGCCTAGACCTGGAAGTCAGAAGACCTGGGTTTATATTCTGACTCTGCCACTAGCAAAGCCTCAGTTTCCTCATTTGTAAGATGGGAAGAGGATACCAACCTTACTCACCCACAGAATTATTACTCTGAGGGCCAAATAAAGTAATATATATGGTTCATTGAAAACCTCAAAGGGCTAGACAAATGAAAGGGATTATTCTACAACTGGAGCTGAAGCTTGAGATGCAGATATTCCTGGGAGAGAGGACTCTTGGGCAGGGAGGGCTGATTCAGTGGATAGGCTTGGAATCCAAAGACACCCTTCCAGGGCCTTCCCTGTGCTTTTGGATCATTTGAATTGACCATGTTACTCCCCTGAGACCTCCATTCTCCCCTCCAGAGCTACCTGCATCTTTGGGTGGGGGAGGGGTGGGGAGGAGGTTCTCAGGAGATCTCTCTGTGCTCTGTACAGCTGTGGAGCCTATCTTTGTTTCTCAGCCTATAGCTAGGAAGTGGACCGAGAGTTCTCTTGTCCTCCTGCATCTCCCCACTGGCCTGGGGCATGGGCTCAGCTGTGGTCAGGACCCTGACAGCTGTCTCCTGGTCTGGGCCTGCAGGTGAGTGCTTCCATGGCTGGCTGGAGCCCCTCCTAGCACGCATCACTGAGGATGAGACAGCAGTGGTGAGCCCAGACATCGTCACCATTGACCTTAACACTTTTGAGTTCTCCAAGCCCGTCCAGAAGGGCAGAGTCCACAGCCGTGGCAACTTTGACTGGAGCTTGACCTTCGGCTGGGAGACTCTACCTCCACATGAAAGGCAGAGGCGCAAGGATGAGACCTACCCAATCAAGTAAGGACCATAGCCTGGTGAGCCCCCAACCTGGCCTATATGGTCCCAGACTCACCCAGTCCTAGGGACCTATGCCATCTCAGGTCAACACAAGCACCTGACATATTTTATTTAATTCTCATACCCTATGATTAGCCTGTTTTATAGGTGAGAACACTGAGGTTCCTAGTTATAAACAATTAGCCTCAGATTATGCAGCTAACAAAGGTGGAACAGGGATACCCATCCTGGCCTGGCTGACCCAACACCTATGTTGCCAACCATGGTACTAGACTGCTCTTATCTGCCACTTACTGTGTGCCAGGCACTGGACTAAGGGCTTTACACACTTTGTGTCATCTATTCCTCCCTACTTGTAGAAGGCCATGACTGGTGCTTGCAGAGGTGCTGAGAGATAGTGGGTAGTGGCCATCATTGAATAGCCGTTGTAACAAGAGGGGGTGGCATGTGCTCCCAGGTCATTCTCTTTGAAAAGACTGAAAACATATTAAAAGAATATAGACAAGTGTTCTGCAGTTTGCAGTTTATTGCAGTTGTCCTGAACTTTTTCGGTAAAGGGCCAAATAGTAAATATTTCAGGTTTGCCAGCTACATACAGTCTGTTGCATAATACTTCTTGTTTGTGTTTCTTTTAAGCAATCCTTTAAAAATGTAAAAACCATTCTTTGCCCCAGAGCCTTATATAAAGCCAGGCCACATTTGGCCCCTGGGCCATGATTTGCCAACCCTGTGAATGCCTCAAAGTTTACCCATTGTTTAATGCCCACCTGAGCTAATCTTCTCCTCATATACCTACCCTGTCCTTCCCCTCTGATTGTCTGTGGTGTTGTTAGAGACCACAAGTTTATTTTAATCCTCACCCGAGGATATGTTTTTATTGATTTTTAGAGAGAGAGGAAGGGAGAGAGAGAAACATCGATTGGTTGCCTCCTGTACACACCTGACCAGGGATGAAACCCGAAACCTAGTTATATGCCCTGATTGGGAATCGAACCCACAAGCTTTTGGTGTAGGGGAAGATACTCCAACCATCTGAGCCTACCTAGCCAGGACAACCACAAGTTTATTTTAACAGATGTCTCAGCCAAACTGAGTTGGGGAGTGACTTTTAGAGTATACTGTGATTATCTGCCATTGTTTTCCCATACTGGCCAGGAAACTCCAGGGTCAACTGAATATATACCTGGGATGGAGGGAAGCAGAGGTACAGGATACAGTGAGCAGAGATAAGAGGGAAAGCTTGAAAGGAAGAGAGTGCTGGAGTTCTTCCCCCTCTACATGCCCAAATCCTAAGAAATGCTGCCTCAGTGGAGAGGGCTCAGGTGGGTGCCACAGGAAGTAATCCCATGGATGCTGAACAGCCAGCCACTCTGTCTCCATTAGAAGGAAGAGGAACAGCAACAGAAAGGGAAGAGGTAAAAGAGAAGGCAGGAGAGAGAAAAGAAATTAAAACTCCCTATTGACCGGCTGCCTGTTTCATAGCTTTCTTTTGTTTGGTGTACACAGCAATAAAGCCCCCCTCCCCGAAGCTGGGGGCAGTGCACACAGTGGCACAGTCAGGGACAGGGCACCTAGCCACCGCCCATCACTGACATCTCTGGCTCCAATGTCCAGCTGGAAGATAAAGCTCCAGTGTTTGAGGAATGAAATTGCTCCCTGGTGGCATGCATGGATTGCCCTCAGAACTATGCATAGTACCCCACCAGGAGGCCTGCAGGCCATACCCTCTTGTCCTCTACTCTGAAAGCTAACAGGAGGAGGCTGAGAGGAGAGGTAAAAGACCCAGAGGATCCTAAGAAGTAGGCCAGGAAATACAGGATGTTGCCTGTTGGTTGTGAGTCTGCTGTGAGTTTCCCAGAATAGGGTTTATCCTCAGAGGTAATTTGTTAGTGGCTTCTGGATCAGAGAGACCTCTCAAAGCCAAGTGACAGGCCCAAGTCAGGGAGACCCTCAAGAAGAAATAGGTTAGGACCTGGCTGGGTAGCTCAGTTGGTTAGAGCACTGTCCCAGTATACCAAGGTTTTGGGTTTGATCCCGGGTCAGGGCACATACAAGAAGCAACCAATGAGCGCATAAATAAGTGGAACAACAAATTGATGTATGTCTGTCTCTCCCTCTCTCTGTCTCAAATCAATAAATAAAAAATTAAAAAGAAGAAGAGGAAGAAGAAGTAGGTGAGGTCCAAAGGGCTAATCTGGAGTTTCAGGACTCTGTGGGCCTTACTTGGGCTGGCTTAGAACTCCGGGGTCAGAACTGGTAACAGAAAGCCTGCGTGCGCATGAGGATTTCCCAATTAAAATTTCTTCCAGAAAGCAGCTGCAGGAGTCAACTTCAGGGCAACAAGAGCAGCCACAAGATTAACTCCAAGGTCAGGGTCCTGTGTAGTCAGTCCAATGAACACAGATTGAGCCCCTGCTGTGTATAAAGCACCTTGATCGGTTCTGGGCTACAAGAAGTAACAGAAGGGGGCAGCAAAGCGCTGTCCAAGATAGCCTGGCCAGACAGCTGCCAACACCTACCAATTAAATATCTGTAGTTGACCCCAGTCTCCCTTAGCCCCTACCCCCTCCTTCAACCCTTATTGCACCTCCCCTTCTGAGCAACCTGGTATCTAAATTCTAGGAATGAGATGTTTTTGTTAATTTATCTTCATATGAGTCTGTGCCTCCCTGCTTTTGTCTGAAAGCCAGAATATTTTTGTAACCTCCAAATGCTCCCTTTTGTGTAAATTGAGCTTGATGTTGTCTCATTTCCTATTCTGTTTCCAGGAGTTTCCTCTGTTCAAAGCAGCTGGCAGATTTTCCCCAAAGCTAGTTGCCCATGCAGTATTAAGCACTAGGGCTGGGCTCCTACTAACACTGGCTTTCTAGTCCCTCAAGGGCCAGGGACAAAGAGAATGGGGTCAGTTCAGTTCATAATATTCATCCATTCATGGTTTGAATCCTGTTTCCAAAAAACAAATTTCACATAGCTTCTGATAACCAAGTACCTACTATGCTCCAGGATCTTTGCTGCCAAAAAGCAAACAAATGATAGTAGCTTTACCCTTTGCTACTAGACTGAGCTCTCGTAGAATGTGATGTCTTTCATAGCTCTATATGCCTAACGTGTAGCACAGGCCCTGGCGGCTGGTATTTAATACATCCTTCGTTGAATGAATGAATGGGTGCCTTCTAGAAGAGAGTAATGAGAATTACATCTCTCCTTGACCTGGTTCCTAGAAGGTAAAGAAGACTTAATAAAAGCTCAATAAACATTTGCTAACCGAACAAGTTAGCAAATCCCGGGAAAGGGGGTGGGAATGGGGTAGGAGGTGTTAACAGTGAGTCCTCAGCTTTCCACACCAGGCTGCCACTCCTCTCCCCTCCCCTAGAAGATGCACATGCTTCTCCCTCTGTCTCTCCAGATCCCCGACGTTTGCTGGTGGCCTCTTCTCCATCTCCAAGTCCTACTTTGAGCACATCGGTACCTATGATAATCAGATGGAGATCTGGGGAGGGGAGAACGTGGAAATGTCCTTCCGGGTGAGAGTGAAGAGGGCTTCGAGGGGGGAACCACAACATCCCGGGGACAGCCTGAGAACCTGTCTCTTAGGCAGCAGAGATATCACATCTGGAACTGAACTTAAAAGGTGGCTGTTTCCTGGCATGACTGCTTTTCCTCTGCTCCCCTCCCTGTCTCTGGCAGTAGGACTTTGGAAATCAGATTGGACAACTTGAAACAAATTACTGGGCAGAACTCCTCAGAGACAAGGGATAATAGTGGTAATAGGAACTGGACATCTGGGGACTGCTGATATCTTTCGTGGTATCTGTGGAAAAGGATTAGACCCTAGTCAAGGGCTTAATGGTAAAGAACCCTGGAACAGGTCAGTAAGCAGTTGCTGTCTTTTTTCTAGAAATATCAGGTTCCCCTTTCCAGGTCAGAGGACAGGTGCCCTGGTATTCTTTAGAGTTTCTCTACCCTATGTTCAGAAATCTCTTCATACTGTAGGAGAAGATGGTGCCCTAATTCTGGTAGACCCCACAATTCTGAGGAGTTCCAGGAATAAGGCAACTCAGGATTAGGTTAGGAAGAAAGGATTGCCTCTCCATGAAATCGACACAAATCCCCATGCCAGTGGAAGGGTAATTAATAATTAAATGAGCTCATTTGTGAAGTCACCGCTCACAGTGCCTGGCACATATTAAGCATATATTTAATACCTGCTGTTACTATGATTATGTATTTCTGTTGCTGCTATACTAAGATAAACAATGTACCTCCTGATTTAAAACCTAAAAAGAGAAGACACAGGTGGGAGGCTTAAACAGAAGGGTCACTAGCTCATTCACCATAACTCCTAGGGTTCTGATTCTAGGTTCATCCATGAGCCTCTGACCTCTGCTCAACTTCTCTCCTAGGAAACTAGTGTGCTAAAGGTCCAGGTGACTACCACCGGCCACCTGGTAGTTGACTATCCTTATGCTCTGATTTAGTCACAAGTCTATCTTGATTTGAGGAAGCTTGAGTTTCCAGTAACACTTGTGTGTGCTGATAAAATCACATTTTCAGGTCAAAAAGCCAAGTGACCAGAGCTCAAAAGTATACAGACACAAAGTTAGCCAAACTGTCTTTTCTCTACAGTGGGCCCTGATAAAACTTGGGGCATGGAAATTTTCTTAAATCAGAGTGAACCAATATCAGAGAGCTAGGGATTATGTTCTCATGGCCTAAGAAGCCTGGTCAATGTCCTTTCCTCCAGGAGAGAAAGCAGCATTTCCTTGAGTTCTTGGACCTGAGGTCTGGCACTCTGGGAATGGAAGAGAGCTGCTTGTGGGGAGATTGTTGTGCCCAGCCCCTGAAGGCCCCATTTTGTATCCTCTTATGGCAGGTGTGGCAGTGTGGGGGCCAGCTGGAGATCATCCCCTGCTCTGTTGTAGGCCACGTGTTCCGTACCAAAAGCCCCCACACCTTTCCCAAGGGCACCAATGTCATTGCTCGCAACCAAGTGCGCCTGGCTGAGGTCTGGATGGATAGCTACAAGGAGATTTTCTACCGACGAAATCTGGAAGCAGCAAAGATGGCCCAAGAGGTAAGGGGAAATGGTGCTCAGGGGGTGTCTGGATGAACAGAAGTGCAGAATCCCAGACCCTGGTCAAGAGCTTAATGATATAGGCCCACCCATCTCTACCATCTGGTGCTTCCCCTTCCACCTTCGACCCTGTGAGCTATAGCCCAGGGAAGCTAGAGAATGAGGAGAGGAGTCTTTGTTGTCCCTGCCTAGAGAGCCCCAGCATCTTTTAGGAGGGGAGGGCAAAGAGATTTGGAGAAAGAACCTCTTCCAGGAGACTGGCTTTGCTCTGAGAGGCTCAGAATGGAGCTGGGAGAAAACTAACTGGGAAGTGACAGGAGATGAGGGAGTAAGGGGGCTACGGGTAGAGTTCCCAAAGCCAAGATGGGGCTTGAGATTGGATGTGAGTCTGGGTCAATAGCTCCAACAGGTCCTGAGCAGGAATGAGCCTGAGACCTGTTCTGGGAAAAAGTGACCCCAGGAACTCTGGACTACTTCAACCCAGACAAGAAGGTCAAGGCTGGTGGAATTGACCCTTAGGGGGCTGTCTTGGTTGACAGAAATCCTTTGGTGACATTTCGGAACGACTGCAGCTGAGGGAGCAACTACACTGTCATAACTTTTCCTGGTTCCTGCACAACATCTACCCAGAGTTGTTTGTTCCTGACCTGAAACCCACCCTCTATGGAGCTGTAAGTCTTAAGAACCAACTTCCTGCCCATCATCACAGAACCCCCAAGAGAAGTTCAGGACCACTTTCCCCACAGGCAGATTACAAAGGAGAATTGAATTTTACTCTCCACACTCCTTTATCCAGAAGGAGGACTTTGGGGCTTCTAGAGATAGCTAAATCCTTTTAAGAGGAAAACAACCCATAAACAGTGGCTCTCAAACACCTGCATCAGAATCATCAGGAAGGAGTGTTTAAAACACAGATTGTTGATTCAGTAGGACTGGGTAGAGCCTGAAAATTTGCATTTCTAACAAGTTCGTGGGTGATACTGATGTTCTGAAGAATCACATTTTGAGAGCCAACATTCATGAGGAAATTTCCATGTGCTGAGTGCTTCTCCCAGGGACCTGGTAGCCTAGGAGGTTGCCCAGCCTGCCCTGGTCCAGCCTCTGGGCTGTGCACCCCACTTTGCTATTAACTCCAGGCATTAATGAGCAGAGGGGAAAAATCAGAGGAGAAGTCCAGTCATGCAAATTTATTCCAGTTGGACCTGACACCGCGAACTAAAAAACTCCTGACTGTGTTATCCTGGTTTCTCTCTCTGCTCCCCATTCTGCAGATAAAGAACCTTGGCATCAATCAATGCCTGGATGTGGGTGAGAAGAACCATGGAGGGAAGCCCCTTATCATGTACGCCTGCCACGGCCTTGGCGGCAACCAGGTATATAGCCCAATCCTACTCGGGCAGGCACAAGAGAAGCCTGTCTCTGGGCATCTCTTTCCATAATGGGCCCCCTTTCTCCATTCAAAATAGTCTTTTCCTAAGGACAAAGGTGGGGGATATCCAGAGAGAGGAGGAGATACCATCCCTGCCCTCAGAAAGCTCCTAGTCTGAGGATGAATGCATGACACAGACAAGATCTGAAGTCTGAATTAGGGACATATAGAGAGCACTGGGCATCAGTTCTGGGTGCTAGAGAGGGATGGGGAGGAGGACTGTTCATCAGAAAAGGCTTGCTGGAGGATGCCAGTTGCTAAGTGATGTTTTAGAGTAAATGTGGGAAATTTTTTAGCACTTTTCCTCACCTACATACAACTTCTATCTTCAGTGCCTCTTTTGCCCAGAAAATACCACTCTGATACTGCCACCCAAAAATGACCCCAAAACAACCACCTCCTGACATCACAGTCACCTGGCATCCTGAAAATTTACTCCATGCCCTACAATGGCCCAGCCCTTCCCTGGGGAGTTACTAGTAACCTCCCTGGCCCAAGTTCCTTAATCTACCCTGAATGCCCAGCGTTTGGTAAGGAAGAAGAACTTGAACCATAGCTGAAGCAAGGGAAGGATGGCTTTGGACACTGAACAGACTGAAAAGTCATTCTAAAGCAATTCCCTGTACCTGATTTTAGGTGGTACATTGGTGAACCTTTTTATTTTACTAGTAATCTATTAACAAAAGAAGAACTTGTGTATCAAACACATGACTTCACAGATAATGCTTAAAATGAAGCTAAGTTAAAATTTTAATTAAATAAAAAATATTAATTAACTGTTATTTCAGTATAACCCAGATATGGTTAAAAATTCCTGAAGGTGACACTTGAATTACTAAAGTCTTGTCACCCTCTCACTTGTCTCACCAGGAGGCCATCTGTGGTTGGCATCTTAGGGCAAATGGCTTTGGAAGGTAGTGGGCAAACTCTCCACCTGTCCCTCAGACTTCCTCTTGTCTTGACTTCTAGTACTTTGAGTATACAACCCAGAGGGACCTTCGCCACAACATTGCAAAGCAGCTGTGTCTACACGCCAATGCTGGCACTCTAGGCCTTAGGAGCTGTCACTTCACTGGCAAAAACAGCCAAGTCCCCAAGGACGAGGAATGGGAATTGATCCAGGTAAGCTGGCCCAGAAAGTTTTGTATCAAGAACCTGAAGCCACCACTGCACCCCTCCTCATTTTCTGTATCTTATGCCTGAAATACCATGGGGTGGATCAGGACAACGTAGAACGTATGGAAGGTGTGGGCTTGGTCACAGGCAGTGTTCCCCAGGCTTAAGTAATGTTTGGTGATGGCTGATTCTGGCTGATAGAAAGATAGGGTGAGGGGTTTTAGTCGTGGCCAGCTGTGTCATAGCTCAAGTATTTTAGACTGAACCTAAGTAGATGAAAGTGAAGAGTCACTCATGGTTCCAGCCTGCCTTCTGTGTTCCAGGCACAAAGCTATGCACTCACCTGCATTGGTTGATTAATATTTCAGAGGCTCTTCCCAAGAAGCTCCACAAGTTTGTGACTGGCCCAAGACCCATCAGTAGTAAACAGCAGGCCTAAGATTCAGACCCAGATAAGTCTGACTTGAAAGCACAGGTTCTTTCCATTATACCACACTGCCTCCAGATTTATAATGTAACTTCCACAGTACTGAGCCCAAACTAGCACCCCCTACCCCAATCCCCAGTCCCTGGCTTAGGGAAAGAGGAGCCTAACCTTGGGGCTATAGGGAAGAGAGGAGTCTAAATATGATCAAAGGCAGAAAGTGGAGGTAGGCAGCAGTGGCCCAGGTCTCTAAAACTGGCCATCTGGAGGAAGCAGGCCCTGAAAGCATTTTTTCAGTTAGCCCATGGTCCTTCCTCTATTCCAGTCATTCAGGCTAAAGCTTGGAGTAGGTAATTGGCACCAGATACAGGTGGAAACTCAGGAATGCATCCCATTAGAGTGTCTAGCATAACAGTGCGATTTATTGTCCCCTAGTAGCACTGTTACAGGATTGAGGCCCAGGTTGACCCTTTGCTGTGTCATCTTTTAGGACCAACTCATCAGGAACTCCGGATCTGGTACCTGCCTGACGTCTGAGGACAACAAGCCAGCCATGGCCTCCTGCAATCCCAGTGACCCCTACCAACACTGGCTCTTCATCTAGGCCCCATACCATCTCCTGTGGGAGTTCCCACAAACCGCTCAGGAAACAGTATTTTGGGAAACCTGATGTTTGGGAACCCGCTCATCAGCTTCTCTATATGATCGGAGTTCTGAACCTATTTTGGATGTCAAGGCAGGACCTTCCTACTTCTTGAAACAACATTGGGCCCATTTTCTTTTCTCCACATTGATGGAAGACACTGTAAAAACACATAATACTTGACCTAGAGCTTTCCTTCTGCCCTAGAAACAGAGACTTCCAAAGCAGAGAAAGCTCCTGGGATAGGACCCAAGGCAGCAATGGTGAAATCAAGAAAAGAACCTCCGCAGCCATGTTTGACTCCTTGGTCATCTAGAGTACCCACCAAATTTAGTTACATAGTATGTTCTAGCAGAGATCCCTCTGTTAGAGGTCTAAGAGCATCTCCCTTGCTAATAGTATCCCAAGTTTGTAGAGCCATTTACGGTTTACAGAAAACACCCTGATAATCCTTTATCTTACTTCATCTGCACAATGACTGTAAGTAAGATAGGACTTGAACCAGCATGCCCATTTTACAAATAAGATAGCTGAGGCAGAAAGGGGTAAAGGAGGTTGTCTGTAATCCACAGCTAGTGAATGGCAGGAGCCAAGACTGAGACTTGATCTTGAACACTGAATCAGGATGCCTTCCACCATACCACAAGAACACTAAACAACTAGCCACCAGCCTTTCCATTCTCTTTTCCCTCCATTCTGATTATTTATGGATATCTGGTCTCTATGAAGTTTAGAACAATGGAGCCAAGTAGCCACGAAGGAGACCATACAGCTCATGGAGCCAGTGATTCCCAGGTTTTAATCCCAGAACCCTTTTTTCTTTTTCTTTTTTCTTTTTTAATCTTCACCTGAGGATATTTTTTCCATTGCTTTTCAGAGAGAGTGGAAGGGAGGAGAGAGAAAGAGAAACATCGATGTGAGAGAGACACATCAATTGGTAGCCTCCAGCATGTGCCCCAACCTGGGCCAGGGATCGAGCCTACAACCAAGGTACGTGCCCTTGGTTGAACCCAGGACCCTTCAGTCAGTGGGCCAAGGCTCTAACCACTGAGCAAAACCGGCCAGGGCCCAGAATCCTTTCTTCGGTGTACCATGTGTAATGTAATAAAAGGCAAAGTAGCCATGGAAGAAACTGAGAGTGGGTAAGGACAATGTCCACTAGCCCCTGTAAGATGACTTGAAAACAGTCATTTTAGTCCAGCCTTATCATTTTCCTATTATGAAACTGAGGGCAAATAAGTGAAGTAATTTGCCCAAGGCCACACAGCAAAGCATTGGCAGCCCTGAGGCTAGGACCCAGATAAGGCTAACAAGAGCCCTGGGAAGTCTGAGGAATCAGGGACAGTGTATAGTCAAACATGACTGCATGACTGGTCTTGTCTGCTATACTAGCACGAAGTCCCCACATGGAGCAGACCTGACATGCATGTCAGCTCTTTTCCAAGCAAGTTGGACCGCGCATACTTCGACTCACAATTCCTTCCAGGAGGACTTCTGACTTTCAGTAACAGGTTGTCATCTTGGGCATTACCACGTGAGGGTGCGATGGGACCACAACTGCCTCTCCTTCCCAACTCAATACTGCAGGAAGTTTCCTAGATCCCCTAAGAGCCTTCAGGACCCTGTAGAGGAAACATTCTGGGATAGCCCAGCCAAAGGGAGAAGACAGAGCATAGCCCCTCCCAGGATGTGGCCTGGAGTGCGAAAAGAAAAAGTTCTTTTCCAGAAAGAGAAGAGATTTGGGCATAAGATCCCCATAGAAATAAAGGTTTTATGGCATTGGTAAAGGAAGTTTTTGCATTGGATTCCTCCTCCTCCTCCTGCATTGTTCCTTAGCTGATCCCTTTGAAGAATCTGTTGATTCAGGTTGTCACAGCCACTGGCTCTTGTTCCCAAACATCCTCTGGCCCCCATTCTAGCCTACATACTGTGTGTCAAACACATGTAAACATGAGGAGTTATATGATGAGGCTCTTCCCCCATGAAACTCACTCTAACTGGGGAAACAGATACAAGCAAGTCATGGAGTGTTCAAAGATGTGCTAGCTGAGTTAGAACGATTCCTTCCATTTAGAGGAATCAGGGAATACCTCACAAAGATGGTGACATTTGACTTTACACCTCAAAGAATGAGTCCTCATACAAAAAATGATCTAGCATGAGAAGAGTCACAGAGGGACAAAAGTGTAAGTGGATCTGGGAAACCAAGAGGACATCAGGGTGAGGGAACAGTGGATGTAGAAGCTAGAAGTTCATGGCCACATAACTTTCATGGGCACTTTTGCCTTCATAAAAAATATTTAAAATTATATTTTATAACTTCCTTGGTATAAAGATAAATACATTCCAGGCTGATGGTATTCATTTTATTTCTTTATGATTTAAAAAGAAACTAAAACATCTTTGTGGGCCCCTAAAAGTATTGTGAGCCCTCAGCACTGTGCCTGCTATGCCTACTGGGTAAGTCAGCCCTATAGAACAGGGGTTTGAAGACCAACTGAGAAGGCTTTGAATGTCATGCTAGTAAGTCACGTAAGCCATACGGAGATATAGGGAGCCATAGTCCCTAACTCTAACCTTAGCCCTACTCTTGGTTGCATTAAACATGCAATCATTTATCAGGCATTATTTGCCATTTATCCCAATATCCCTCATACAGTCTATAATGTTACCCAACAGCTCTCCAGCCCAATTTTATAATATATGCCCAACCAAGGTACCCTGATGTGATTCCTCACCCTTACCCCAAAAAAGCATAGCCTCTCCCAGGGTCAGTCAGATAAGAGTAACTCTCAGGAAGTGAGAGATGCAGCAAAGAAAAAAAAAGACCACATGGCATACTTATAGAGTAGGCCCAGGTTTGGGGGTAAGGAGAGGACTAGGGAAGGGAGGTAGTCAAGAAGAGGGAGAGATCACTGACAAGGGTGGTGGAAAGGCTCAAGAAATCAGCTTCATGGCCTCTCTTTAGCCAAGGTGGGCCTTGCCCTAACCTGACATCTGCACTCTTCCTTAAAGTCCACCCCTCTGACCACTCTCAGAACTAACCTAAAACCTTAAAACCTTGATGCTAGCCCTGTGCTATCTCCTGGCTCTAGAAGCCTCTTACCTTAGCATTGAATGGCTAGTCCCCTTTGGGAATTTATTTCCCACTTGAAGAGTACTGGTACCATTGTCAAAAGTAGCTAAATGTCCCAGAAATTATTCTCTACTTATTTTTAATTACAAAGTAATTCTGTAGAGAAGTCAAATAATACAGGAAAACATGAGTTTAAAAAGTGAAATTCATCCTCACAATGCTTCTATACCTATTGATTTGTTCTCTAGATGTAATAACTTTACAGCTTGTTATAAACCCTTCCATATTGCTTTCTATGAATCTACAAATACACATGTACACAGTAGCATATTGTTTGCAACTTGATTTCTTTTTTCTTTTTTTAATATATCTTAATTGATTTCAGAGAGAGGAAGGGAGAGGGAGAGAGAGATAGAAACATCACTGATGAGAGAGTCTGATTGGCTGCTTCCTGCACACCCCCCGATTGGGGATCGAACCAGCAACCGGGACATGTGCCCCAACCAGGAATCAAACTGCGATCTCCCAGATTCTAGGTCGATGCTGAACCACTGAACCATGCCCGGCAGGGCTGATTTCTTTATTTAATATATCAAGGACATCTTTTCATGTCAGTTTATTTAAGTCTAATTCATTCTTTTTCTTTTTCTTTATTTATTTCCAAATTATAAGAGAAAGTTTATTAAGAGTCCTTGTGAAAATTCCAGCAAAGCAGCTTTGAAAGAGCCTGTGTGATCAATTTGATCAATTATTATTCTTGTTGTATTTATGCAAAAAACCAGGCCAAACTAAAACTGGACTTAATGCAGTCTATTTGAAAGGGAGGGTAATCTTTGAGAGAAAAATTGTGTTTCAATGGAAACCACCATGTCCAATTGTAGATATTGGATTCCAGTGCAGTTAACCATCTTCAAAATGTTGCTTTTAAGACTGTGTCTGTGTATGCCATATAAGCCTCAGCACCTGATGACATCACCAAGAATGTTCTAACTGCAGACAGTCTATCAGATTGTCACTGTGTACTTTCATTCCAGCAGAAGCCTTGCACCTGAAAGGCTTCTCAACTGGTGTATGATTTGCTATGTGTGTTAACCTTTCTGTTTTATATTCTCCTATTTTCATAGAATGTATGCCCATGTCCTTATTTACCTGATTGCATGTGCATACAATATAAGTCTCACTATAGAAGTCATCTGTATTACCATGTCCTGAAAATAATACTCAACGGTTTAGACTTATGGTTGAGTCAATGAAATATGGATGGTCTATCGGCTTCACTTGAAACTGCTTTCCCTTTTCTGCCCAAACAGTTCAGACAGGAAAGGCCCACATTTCCCTTAGCTTAACTTGAGTTAAGTATGGTGGACAGAAGGACTTCAGACAGGTGTGACACACCTGCCTGCAGGGAAGCCACTCCTCCAACCTAATCTGGGATACTGCAAGTTAGCCTTTCCCTTTATCGTATGGGTTTTTACCTCTCACTAGACCTTTAGTTGCTGTAAGTCTCCTCACTTTTGAATTTTGTCTTTTAACCCTCTTGCCAAGTTTGTCATTTCTAGAATACAACAAGGACACCAGCTTGTCCAGTGCATCATCCATCTGGATATTGCTTATATTACCTCCCAGGGACACCAGACTGACCTGGACTCTGCAAAATTCCTCTTCCCTACATGAAGACTTCCCTTCCCTTCTACTATTCCTTCCTCTGTTAGGAAGAACCTCTGAGCCTTGGAATAGTCAGGAATACACCCCTCTGACAGCAGTAAGCAGTTACAAGAAGATGGAGACCTTTGTCCATTGTCCTTTGTAAGATTATAAAAAGGTTCCTTCTCTCTAAGAGGGGAATGATGCTGTCGTAATTAGCTAGTTATTAATAATAGGAAAGGAGCAAAGGAAAGGCTAGACATTATAAGCATGTTCCCTGCAAAACACTGGGGGAGGGATCCAACAACGGGAAGATAGATGCATGCCCAGTAAAGCTGGGGTGACATAGGGAAGGTACTTGCCTGTCAATCACACCTGGGGACAGAGACAGTTGGCCAGAATGGGCATCGCCACTGCAAGCATGAAGAAATTTGAGATATATATGATCCCCTAAACAAAGAAGCTCACTCTCTTTTTCTCCAAATTATAAGAGACACACTTGGCTCATGGTTCATGCTTGGCATCCTGGAATTCTCTCGTGTGCCCCACAGCCATGTGGACCCCACACATACAATGGACTAATAGACTGCAGTTAGCTTAATGCTATACTGGACACTGCTCCAACATGGAATGGAAAACTCTGGATACTGGCTCTGATTTTAGGCCTACTAAAATCCCAGCTACACTTCTTCTGTGACTGGACTAAGGGAAATGGGACTTTGGAAACTCAGGAGTATATGAAAATAAAGCTTTCTACTGTATTGCATCCTCCTGTGTGATTCTCAGAAAATTCCTTTTCTCAGGATATTGCAAGGACCCCACTCCCACTAGCAATGGGGGAAGATGAGGCACATTCTTCTCCAGTAGCAGTAGAAGTGAGCCCACTGGGCTGTGTAGGCTCAAGAAACAAGTTGCAGAAGCAAAAGAAGGGCCATTGGAGCTTAGGAGAGGAAAAGGCAAAAAAGCAAAGGTAACACACTGGGTAAGGGGGGCATGAGTGTGCTCGAGAGAGAGAGAGAGAGAGAGAGAGAGAGAGAGAGAGAGCGCTAACTCATTTTTAAAAGCTGCATAGTATTCCATAATATGGTTAAATCCAA